TTATTTTCTTTAATATTTATTTAATATAACACTAAAGTAGTTTAATAAAACGGTATTTAGTCTTAAAGTATTACTCAATACGCATAGAGCTAAACGGGTTCGAAATAAAGTTTGAAACGAACGAACGATTTAAAAGAAAAATTGTGGAAATTTTAAAATTTAAGTTACAAAAAAGTGAACTAAACTATTATTATGGATAAATCACAACCGCCACCATATTCACCACCCGGTTTTACACCAGCTCAGGTCTACCAGCCCGGTCAGCCACAACAACCCTTATATCCACCTATGCCACAGCCACAACCGCTACCACAGCAATCTACTGTTATCATACAGACAACAACACGACCAAATCTAGTGGCCATTGGTAATGGACCTACACATATCCAGTGTCCATCATGTCATGCTGAAATTTTAACAACTGTCAAACATACTGCCAATTCAAGAACACATTGCTGGGCCCTGGTTTTATGTCTGTTTATGTGAGTAGTTCTATAATGATTCTATATAGATTTAGTGAAGTGATAAACAATTCCGGGAAATTTAATTAGTTCTTAAAAAAAACATAAGTTTATATGAAATCAGATATGAAATTTGTATACAACTGTACGAATCGTATCTACCCTGCAGCGAATGGTCTCCGATTTCTCTTCTAAATTTTGTCTCTTTAGTTTAAGGTCTTTAAATGTTAATTAATATTTTATGACTTTTGGCGGGTTCAAAATATTCTTGTAATTTTTTGATACAGTAGATATCGGTGTAAAATTTGAGCTTTCTAAGTCTCTTTTCATTAGCATTGCAAAATCGTCTAAGAATGTTTGCTTTTCTTAACCAAACATTTCAAACGAACAGTATTTTTGAGAAATTGCCGCTCTAATTACTTCGCTTGAGTCCCTATCGGTTTGTCATAACTAAGTTCAACTTACTTATATACTTTTCTTAGTCTACGACCTATATTTCTTCATTTCCCTTACAAACTGAGTGACAAAATTAGTAACTCTTTGGAGGGTATGAACATTTTTAGTATAAATAGAGTTATAACTTAGCGATAAGATATAACTCGGTGTCACTTGTTATTTAGCTTCCAAATTTACGAACGAATAGCAACAACAACCAACACCAGCCAAAAAGTAAATATCATAAAATACTTGAAGCACTTAACACAGAAAAAGTATAATATTTTGTTATTAGAAATCTAAAAAAAAAAATGATAATTATAATCAAACCATAAAACGGTGTTGAAATACCTTTTTGCTTTTGCACAGTGGGTTTGATAAAAGTTACAAACTTCCACAGTGGGGTGGCATATCATTACTACTTAAAATGCATTTTCAAATTTAAGAACAAAAAGTAAGATTATATTTTCATAAGCAAAACTTCGGAAGTTGGTCCATTATATGGAATTAGATCTTTACATAACGATGTTTTCGGGAATTATTAAACTAAGAAAAAAGCCCATGAATATAATTTTTATCATTTAATTAATGAAATTTTTTATTGTTTACCAGCTAACGCAGCCCTTCATTGTAATAATGAAGAATATTTCATTGATTATATGAATTTGTTTTTCGACTTCTCTGTGAAACTATTTCATTGCTAAAATGAAATTGGTTATTGATTCAAAGAAAATATTTCATATATATATTTTATCGTATACAATATAGTCAAATGTTGGCCCTATCACTAAAGCCAATAATGTATTATTTACGAAAACACGTTTTTCAGAAACCTCATGCACAAAATAAATTTCCTAAAATCGGTTAAAACATAAAATATTTGTTTTTTTATCGAAATTGCGAAATTTTTTAGATGAGGAGCTTTAAGGAGGAATCACTGAGAAAGAGATTAGCCTTAAACATATACATATTTACGATTTTTTAAATTAAGTTCCGGGAGGACTAATCATTGTCTGAAGTAGTCCATCTTTAATACCAGACAACCAGGCAAATTTTATTTATAAAGAAAGTTTCTGTAAAATATTAGACCTATAGCTCCCACCTGAACACTAGAGTGCTGGCAATAAGGCGACGGGCAGACATGGCTCGATAGTCAGCCATTTTTAAAGGGAACTAATCATCAGATAATGTTTTTTTGATTCAGATTGGACCGATTCTCACGGAACTTTTGTATACAAATTTCCTCATTTATTATACTTTGCTGTTACAAGATCTATATACTATATACAAAATAGGTATGTACATATATGGCATTTTGACTTGCTTTTAGAACAGGCTCACTATAGGCATATAGGATCGTGTTAATTCTGGAACGATAGAACAATGATTTTCCTGTAAAAAATCATGTATATGAGATTTCATTCTAATAGCGATATTTTAAAGCGTTTTATTCATATGATTTTCTAAAGGTGCGTTTATAGAGGTCCAATATGGATCAATTTCGAAGAGATACTTAGGTATAAAACTTATTTGTGCTGATTTCAATCCGATAGTAGTATTTGTGCTGATTTCAATCCGATACCAGTATTTATCTTTATAAACTTAAGAATAACTTCTGAGTGGGACCACATACAAGTGGGCTAGAGCCAAATGTAAATTAATTTTTCACTTATAAAGCACAAAACCCAGGGAACCTTAGTATGACAACACCAAAAGCCTTCATCATTGGTCAAATTATGATTTATAACACCCATTATTTCTGGGTACATAATACCCCTCATCTTTAGTGACGTAGGGTATAAAAAGAGTACTTTAGATATTGCTTAGTGACGTACATGTTTAAATAAAATATTTAGATAAATCGACACATGATAATATGTATACAATTGAAGGTATTCCGTCCGGTCGTATGCGTCTTGTTTTTATTTATTTAACATCATTATTATTAATTTGTTATTGTTGTTATTTCACAATAACACATAAGAAGTTGTTGTTTTTGTAACTCATGATAAACGCCCAGACAATTACATATCATTACACTTTAAATGACTAGGAGGGCCAACGTTTTAAGAAACTAAACATAAAATAAATGGATGACAAAATATTTCAAAATTTCTATTTCCAATTTCTTTTCAATACTTCGGATACCATTATCCATTTTCCTTAGCAACCAACTATAAGACTAGCTTCTTATTAGACCCTTTTTACTCTAGGTTCTATAAAACTAATTAATCAAGAATTTAAATCAAAATGCTTAAAATAAACAACAAGTAAATACTGAAAAATCTTTTAAATCTTCTATAAATACTGATACTTAATCAAAGTGAATCCCCCTTTTAAAGTCTATTTGACAAGAAAGAAAATTAAAAGCACCCAGCAACCGAAAGGTTTGACGTCACTGTTTAACACTGACGAATGTAAATGTTAAGTGTGAACTGTCTATGAGTGTTTAAAATTGAACTGAAAAACAATGATGATGACTCAATTTATTTACTTTAATTTTTTTATAAACAAACAACAATTCTATAGAAATTTAATTAATTATATTGCAAGAAAATATACAACAGTTTACAAAGTCTGTTTTTAATGTAATTATAATTAATCAGATAGGCAATTCGAAGACCTCCAACTATAAATGTAATGCTTATACCCTACATTAGTTAGTTAGGTAGGTAGGTAGGTAGGTAGTTAGTTAGTTAGTTAGTTATTTAGTAGTTAGTTAGTTAGTTAGTTAGTTAGTTAGTTAGTTAGTTAGTTAGTTATTTAGTTAGTTAGTTAGTTAGTTAGTTAGTTAGTTAGTTAGTTAGTTAGTTAGTTAGTTAGTTAGTTAGTTAGTTAGTTAGTTAGTTAGTTAGTTAGTTAGTTAGTTAGTTAGTTAGTTAGTTAGTTAGTTAGTTAGTTAGTTAGTTAGTTAGTTAGTTAGTTAGTTAGTTAGTTAGTTAGTTAGTTAGTTAGTTAGTTCTTTTAATTTATTTTATTTTATTTTAATTTTCATAAACTAATAACTTCAAAAATTCCCTTTTATTTTCAGTTGCTGGCCTTGCGTTTGTGTACCCTACTGTATGGATTCCTGCCAAAGTGCCAATCATTATTGCCCCAATTGTAATGCCTACATTGGAACCTACGATAACTAATATTTATTTTATGATTTTTTTAAAAGCTTTGATTCCTTATTATTATTTTATTAGTATTTAATATAAATTATTTGTAATTTATATGTTCTTTTTTCCTTAATGTTAATTTTTTAATACAAAAATAAGCTTATGCCAAAAAATTATGTAAAAATAATAAATTAACAACGAAATAAATTTTATTTCAACAATTGACGAAACGAATTAAAATATTTAATCAATCATGGAACAATTCTTAAATCTTAATCATATATATATTTTTAGATAACGTGACCTAAAGTTTAAGAAATCCCGGTCCTTGGCTATATTTGAGATATTTCAGCATTACTTAGATACCTTCATTTAAATCCAATCTCTCGACTTTTTAAAAAGGTTTAACCTCTCCGATATATTCTTACTTCTTTAAGAGATATTTAATAAGTTATATTCGCGCTCTTATCGCGTCTCAAATATGGCTAAAATTGTTGTTTTTTACATCAGATTTGGGTTCATGGCTTCTCAGTTCTTTAGAAAGTATACTTGAGTCTCTGAATTGACTCAAGCACCCATAGAGCGTGCCTTACAAAATCCAGTGTAATGATTATAGGTATTGTATTAATATCGATTTTTGATAAATTACTTTAGAACTAACTCATAACTGCCCAGATCTGCAATATTGTACCACCGCCTATACTTTTTCGCTCTTGTTTTTCGCAAAATAGAACAAGCAAAAAATTAAAGAGAATCATCTTACAATAATATCAGCATTCAAGAATGCAGACAATACGATAATATATATTAAGACTGATGAAAAAAATGTAAACATCTTTAGTTCATTATGCTGAAAGTGCAGATTTAAACAAAAGTAGAATTTAAAACATTTATTGAAGATACCACCATAACGATTGCTTTCTCAGAAGAGGAATTAAGTTTCAATAGAGTTCTAAATAATAGAAAACAAATCAAGAAGTAACAATTAAGGGTTCTCATACAAATTCTTAAGTTTTCGATTTGTCATATTTCGGGAAACTATAGAGGTGAAATGCTGTTTGAAGTATACTTCAAACAGTATTTCACCTCCTTCAACCTAAATCATTAGTATTCAGTTTGATATAGAACTAAGGGCCTTTTTTATATTAAATAGTTTTTTATTTATTTATATTTTTCTTTACTCATATACGTCGATAAGTGATTATTTTCTAAAAATAATTCCATCATCAGCCATTTTCATTCTCTATTCCGCGCTAACATTTCTCTTTATAAATTGTATTTTCGGTTCATTGAGAAAACGCAAGCTCACTTGATTGATAAATATCAGTTCATCATACGGAAAGTCGGTGCTAAATTCAAAATCTCTAACCAGATTTAAAACCAAAACTTTTAAAGCTATAAGAGCATAACGCCAACCTAAAAATTAAGAAAAATTATTAAAATATATAAAAGAAAGACAAATAGATCCTTACCTATACAATTACGCACCCCCTTTGAAAAGGGTATATAAGCATAAGGATGACGTTTCTCTATATTTTCCGGTAAGAAATTGTCGGGATTAAATAGATCAGCTTTAGCACCCCAAAGATCTTGACGTCGATGTAAATGAAAGATAGAAATTAAGATTTGAAAACCTTTAGGCAGTTTAATAGCATCGGTTAAGTGGCAACTTTCCAAAGATTCACGACCTATTAAAGGTATAGGAGGCATTAAGCGTAAAGTTTCATCGATAACCATATTTAGATAGGCCATTTGATCCAAGTCTTTATAATCTATATTCTTAGAATCTGCCATAATTTCAAATACTTCCTGATAAAGTTTCTGCTGAACATCTTTGTGCATGGCCAACATTATAATAATAGAGTATAAGGTGGTAGAAACGGTTTCAAAAGACTTTAAGGGGGCATTAAAAGAAAATAAAGTTTTGAATCGATTAATAAAGAACTTACCCCAATAATCATGGTATAGGTTTCGGTTATCACATCATCTATAGCAAATATTTTTTGCTGTTGATATTTTATAGCACGATCTAAAAAGTATTTATCCTCATTTTTAATTGTAGAGCCCATTTTACGCTTAATTAACTGAAATTGAATTAAGAATCGAAAACGGTTCCAGTTTTAATATTATTTTACTTACATTTTTCATATAGCCTTTTAAATTATCGATGATTTGATAATATGTAGATGTTCTTATTAGAAATGAAAGTTTTACAAAAGATAATGTTGTGCCAACGACCATTTTCCCCAATAATCTAGGATTTATAAAGGAATTGTTTTCTTAAATAATGATATTTTAATGAAGTTATATTAATTCGTACTTATTAAAATTATTTGCCATATTTCCATTAACGTTTTCACCTTCCGCCAGTACCGAGCCCATGGTGTTGCCTAAAGTACAGAAGAAATCTTAAGTTCCTATGTGTATGACTTGATCAAATTTAAATGCGACATAATTAAGACAAGACTATAATATTTCCCTATGTCGAATCCCAACATCAAATCAGGTATTCCAAATTCAAAGTAAATTTCTTAAAGGGGCCCTATATATGAATATATGGGTCGATTCTTTCGGTTTAATTATCGATGTTTATCATATATCTATGTTAATTTTGATATTTCTTAAAACAAGTCGTTTTGTCGAATTTTATCTTGACATCATGGTTTTTGAACGATTTATTTGCAATAAACTGACTTTAAGAAAAGGTTAAGTGGGGGGTCTATAATGGACCGATCCTCATGAAACTACATATTTAGAAGTCTTTTGGTTTTTATAAAACTAGCTTATGCCGTTATAGCCTATAAATATCATTGCTGTTTTAGTATTATTAATCCAGTTATGAATATTACAGCCATTTTTTGAAAGGGACCTTATATGGGTCTAGAATCCAAGATTGTGTGATGTCCCCCATACTTTACAATATAATTTCCAGTGACATAAAACTAATTTAAGTTAAATTTTAACATAATTACTGCATTATCAACATATTTAAGACTTTTTAAATTGTATTCCGCTAGGTGATATCGTGACCGATATATCTCATATACAACATCAAACAAATCTTATCATTTGTGTGAACTTTAGCTATATACCGGACAAACAGACATTTGCGCCAAATTTCGATACAATTACAGCATTATCAACTATTTAAGACTGTTTAAACTATATCTCGGGGGTTCATTTGTGATATCGGTGATAACGAGGACCGATATTTCCCATAATCTATATCAAATAAATCTTAACTTCCATGAGGGTTTTATTGTGCTTTAAACACACAAACAGTCAGACATGTCCAGATCGTCGTAGAATCAAATATCGACCTTGAATATACTGTTATTTCCGAGGGTCTATGAACAACATTTCTCTGTGTTATAAAGCCCATCTTTTTTGATGATGAGTATATTTCGAATACGTTATAATTAAGCTGTAGATAAAATTTGAAAGCTATTCTGAAGGCCATTGGTGAATATGTCAAATTCTGAAAAGTTATCTTCAAAATTAAGACCTATAAATACTCTGAATATAAGCCATTCACGGACACATGGATGGCCATCAATGCTTTCAAAATCACACTTACCCACAGCCATTTCTAAAATTTCCTGTTTTATGTGACCAAATATTGCATGTTCCTCTCCGACCCTCAAAGACTCGAAATATTTAGAAATACGTTTCGAGTATTTATTAAAACTAGGTATAAACTGTTGTATAATTTGGGGAGCAAATGATGGATTCATTAATTTACGATTATGTTTCCATTTGAAATCTATAAAAAGTAAACTATGAAAGTAAATTATAAACTTAGGTTAAAACTCCATCGACTTACATTTACTGGTGATAATACCATCAGGCATAGCTTCATTCATTGTATCATAAATAACACCAGATTTATTAAGGAAGACATCAGAGTTTAGAATATGTTTAATGATATCAGTATCGGTTGTTATAATTAAAGGCACATTGGCAAACCATGTTAAATAGGACCAAGACTTTAACTTGTCGAAATAGGAACCAAGTACATATAAAAATTCTAGAGAAGTTAGAAGAAATAAAATACTTGCTGACATTAAAATCAAAAAAACTTACTCTGGATCGGCACAAATTGATATAAAATTCCCAAAAACGGTAGACCATAAACTATGGGTAGACCATGTTGTCTCATAGAACGATATTCGGAGAACTTTTTCTTTGCACTATAAACTAATAGTAAACATAGTACAGTTATAACACAATTAACTGAACAAACATTTTTATCAAAATCTTTTAATGAACTGAACATTTTAAACTTTACTAATAAGACGCACTTGAATAAAATGTTCTTTTATATATAAAATTTTGGATAATTCAGTTGAATGGAGAATGATCTTTGACATGATGATGGCAAAATTTTAAATGTTTACTAAGTGATCATATAAAATGTTTTATTTCAGAAGTAAATGTATTTAGAGTGAGTGTGAGAGTTAATGAATATTGTACTTTACAAATGATTTTCAAGCTTTTAATGCATATGACACTTCAATTTTTGGACGTCGTGTAATTACCTCTAGGGAAATTGCTGCTACTTTCTAATTTCATCATTTATTATCATGGTTAAATTTATACATATCGACACTGCTATTAACATAAGTAGGAGGGAATTTCGCAAAGAATAGTCTACTGATCACAGATTAGAACTAGACAATATACTAGACCATAGACCAGACTATTGACCAGAGTATAGACTAGAGTATAGACTATACTACAAACTGTACTACAGACTAGACTATAGACTAGACTATAGACTAGACTATAGACTAGGCTATATACTAGACTATAGACTAGACTATAGACTAGACTAGACTAGACTATAGACTAGACTATAGACTAGACTATAGACTAGACTATAGACTAGACTATAGACTAGACTATAGACTAGACTATAGACTAGACTATAGACTAGACTATAGACTAGACTATAGACTAGACTATAGACTAGACTATAGACTAGACTATAGACCAGACTATAGACTAGACTTTAGACTAGACTATAGACTAGACTATAGACTAGACTATAGACTAGACTATAGACTAGACTATAGACTAGACTATAGACTAGACTATAGACTAGACTATAGACTAGACTATAGACTAGACTATAGACTAGACTATAGAGACTAGACTATAGACTAGACTATAGACTAGACTATAGACTAGACTATAGACTAGACTATAGACTAGACTATAGACTAGACTATAGACTAGACTATAGACTAGACTATAGACTAGACTATAGACTAGACTATAGACTAGACTATAGACTAGACTATAGACTAGACTATAGATTAGACTATAGACTAGACTATAGACTAGACTATAGACTAGTCTATAGACTAGACTATAGACTAGACTATAGACTAGACTATAGACTAGACTATAGACTAGACTATAGACTAGACTATAGACTAGACTATAGACTAGACTATAGACTAGACTATAGACTAGACTATAGACTAGACTATAGACTAGGCTATATACTAGACTATAGACTAGACTATAGACTAGACTATAGACTAGACTATAGACTAGACTATAGACTAGACTATAGACTAGACTATAGACTAGATATAGACTATGACTATAGACTAGACTATAGACTAGACTATAGACTAGACTATAGACTAGACTATAGACTAGACTATAGACTAGACTATAGACTAGACTATAGACTAGACTATAGACTAGACTATAGACTAGACTATAGACTAGACTATAGACTAGACTATAGACTAGACTATAGACTAGACTATAGACTAGACTATAGACTAGACTATAGACTAGACTATAGACTAGGACTATAGACTAGACTATAGACTAGACTATAGACTTAGACTATAGACTAGGACTATAGACTAGACTATAGACTAACTATAGACTAGACTATAGACTAGACTATAGACTAGACTATAGACTAGACTATAGACTAGACTAGACTAGACTATAGACTAGACTATAGACTAGACTAATTAGACTAGACTAGACTAGACTAGACTATAGACTACTAGACTAAGACTATAGACTAGACTATAGACTAGACTATAGACTAGACTAGACTAGACTATAGACTAGACTATAGACTAGACTATAGACTAGACTATAGACTAGACTATAGACTAGACTATAGACTAGACTATAGACTAGACTATAGACTAGACTATAGACTAGACTATAGACTAGACTATAGACTAGACTATAGACTAGACTATAGACTAGACTATAGACTAGACTATAGACTAGACTATAGACTAGACTATAGACTAGACTATAGACTAGACTATAGACTAGACTATAGACTAGACTATAGACTAGTCTATAGACTAGACTATAGACTAGACTATAGACTAGTCTATAGACTAGAATATAGACTAGACTAGACTATAGACTAGTCTATAGACTAGACTATAGACTAGACAATAGACTAGACTATAGACTAGACTATAGACTAGACTATAGACTAGACTATAGACTAGACTATAGACTAGACTATAGACTAGACTATAGACTAGACTATAGACTAGACTATAGACTAGACTATAGACTAGACTATAGACTAGACTATAGACTAGACTATAGACTAGACTATAGACTAGACTATAGACTAGACTATAGACTAGACTATAGACTAGACTATAGACTAGACTATAGACTAGACTATAGACTAGACTATAGACTAGACTATAGACTAGACTATAGACTAGACTATAGACTAGACTATAGACTAGACTATAGACTAGACTATAGACTAGACTATAGACTAGACTATAGACTAGACTATAGACTAGACTATAGACTAGACTATAGACTAGACTATAGACTAGACTATAGACTAGACTATAGACTAGACTATAGACTAGACTATAGACTAGAGACTAGACTATAGACTAGACTATAGACTAGACTATAGACTAGACTATAGACTAGACTATAGACTAGACTATAGACTAGACTATAGACTAGACTATAGACTAGACTATAGACTAGACTATAGACTAGACTATAGACTAGACTATAGACTAGACTATAGACTAGACTATAGACTAGACTATAGACTAGACTATAGACTAGACTATAGACTAGACTAGACTATAGACTAGACTATAGACTAGACTATAGACTAGACTATAGACTAGACTATAGACTAGACTATAGACTAGACTATAGACTAGACTATAGACTAGACTATAGACTAGACTATAGACTAGACTATAGACTAGACTATAGACTAGACTATAGACTAGACTATAGACTAGACTATAGACTAGACTATAGACTAGACTATAGACTAGACTATAGACTAGACTATAGACTAGACTATAGACTGGACTATAGACTAGACTATAGACTAGACTATAGACTAGACTATAGACTAGACTATAGACTAGACTATAGACTAGACTATAGACTAGACTATAGACTAGACTATAGACTAGACTATAGACTAGACTATAGACTAGACTATAGACTATAGACTAGACTAGACTATAGACTAGACTATATACTATAGACTAGACTATATACTATA